GGGGGGGCTTTATGTTGTTTAGCTTTGAATTGCCAGAGATCAGCGTCCTCTCTTGCAGCTTTTCCTTCTGAGCGCTGGGTCTCCTGTAACAATCCAAAGGTCACAGGGCAGTGTAATATGGGAATACAATTCAAGGTACTCGGCGTATGAATGGATTTACTGCATATTAAAAGAAGATTGTCAAGGCAACAGACTTTACCATAAATAATTACAGGTGTGATGTGAAATGCAAGGTAAATGTGGATTCAAAGGGTGAACACTGCTACCGTTTTAACTACTAATGTTGGAGTTCTATTACTAGGGTGTTTATGGTATTTCCAAGCAATAGTTTGATTGCCAGCCCAGGAGGGCTAACAAGGAGGTGTCTTGGTTTTTAATGGTCTGCACGTGGAAATGGAAGGTCAGAACTTTCTCTGCTTCATCAGATTTCTTGTTTTGGGGGGATTCAATAGTTCATGTCTTATTCATTCTGAGAAGGACATAAGTATGTGTTGGAACTTTTCTCAATGAGTTACAGACACTGGTTTCTTTAAAAGGAAAGAGGCATATTTTGCACAGACATAGTTACTGAAGTCATAATTTGCCATTCTTCAACGAATACACTGGACCTGGCCAGATATTTGACGTCTTAAGCAGTTGAACTTGTATGATAACAGATCACGTGGATTCATCACCCCTCTTTTGGGAGGGAGGAAGACACAGAGAGAGATGGCACTTTTTAAAATGTGGAATATCTTCAATGCAGACTCACTCACAGATCTTAAGTTATTGTGAAAGTTTAGCTATTCATTGTTCCAATATCCCTGCTAGATTTTGTATAATTCTGTATTAATATGCAGGCAGATTCCACCCCATAAGAAACACCATCACAACTTAATTTGTATGTATGGATACTGTGGATTCTTGCCAGTGCTGGCTCTTGTATTTACTTTAAGCACTGATCACTTCTGATTCATTTGGTATGGTTTTTCCTCTTTCTTGTATATGTTCTACTATGAAATGTATTAAGATACTACCAGCTAGGTGAATGTTTTTGTCTATGGTACAAACAGTGGCAAATATTGGTAGTAAAGGCACAGCAAACCCTATGTAAAAGAAGGAAAGGGAAAAAAAACAAAACAAAACAACCCACATCAGAACACCAAACCCTAAACTACAGTAGGAAAAAATACCTTTAACTTAAAAAACCAAAAACATCCCGTTCACAGACAGAAAGCTTTTTTTTTAATTTATTTGCACTTTTGGAAAGGTGGGGTTTTTTTTCAGTTTAATTTTCTTGGGGAAAAAAGTTCTAAATGAAAATATTTACACCCTGTGGTTTCCATTCACCTCAGCACCTGATTTTCTTTGTTTGTTACACTAAATGCATGGAAGCACTGTCAGCTGTTGCACTGTTCGTGTTGAGGAAGTCCAGTGGAAAAAGCCATGTACCGCTGGCCTTGGTGAGCAAAGTGTGCTTGTGGATCCTTGGCAAGAAGAGAAAGGGTCCAAGGACAGGCAGTAGAGAGAGTCAATGACATGCCTGTGTCATCATTTTTCATTATGGAAGACAGTTGTGTTGCCACTTGTTGAGCTATGCAGCCTGTTGTTTGAGTAGCCTTCTCATAACTATGCCCGCTGGAAGTCCTCTTGCGTTAGGAAGCCCACTGTACCTTCCTCTTTTTTTTGTTGCAGTTGTTTCTTTTTTTGTTGTTAATGAGATTAATAATAATAATATAATAACCACTAAAATGCCTAAAATACTTCCTTAAATCAAACAGTGTTAGCAACAATGTGACACATCTCACTAAAATCCACCCCATGAACACACAGCTATACTCTTGTAGCAAGATGCAGTTGCTCCTAAGCAGAGTGTTTCCTTGCTGACAGAAGGGACAGATTTGGGGAAGAAAAAAAATAAAAAGTTTTACATCAGGGCCTATTATTACTTCTATTTTGAATATTTATACTGCTGCTCCAATGGAGCCAGTTGGATCTATTTCTACGAAATAGCCATTACCTATCCCGTTGGCACAAAAAACTGCATGAGTATTTTTTAGGAACTTTTCCTATTGGTGTGCATTAAATACTGTAGTATATCATAGCTTTGCATTGTGTGTAAAACGTGAAATACCTTGTTTTGACACTTGTGTGTTGTGCAAGAATGTTCTGCAAGTTGTTTGTTTTAAGCAAAAGGTACATTGAACTGCCACTATCTGTGCCATATATGATTTGATAAGCAGTTCCTATACTGGCAGTTTCAGCAAGATGTGCTTATGATTTGCAACCAAATCAACCAGTGCAGACCTGGTTTGGAACAGGATAGACCAACTGAATGTGTGCATTTGGTCTCTAAAAGAGAGAGCCTCTCAAGTTTGTTAGCATAATTAAAGCCTGTGGAAAGGTCCCCAAAGCAAAAAACTTGAGCAATTTTTGGCATCCTTCCTGTACAACATCTCCAAAATTCACATAGACAGTTATATTCAAATGCAGTGTATATTAATCGCTTTACTTTATCAAGCCAAGCAGAGGACTATGTCTGAGGTGTTCTCTCCTCCTGACGTTAGATTCTGGAAGCTGCTAGCTGTGCAGGGGGTGGAAAGCCAGCACCTGGCTTCCGTTTCCCCCTGAGAAGCTCTGCAGTGCCCATTGCTGCCCAAGCCACAGGCTGTGGCTGGGACGTGGGGCCACAGGAGCCTGTCAGGGTGGCTGCCCCTGCCCGGCGTGGGAGGCTGGGCTGGTAGAGTCCCTGGAGATGGGCAGGATGGGGTTGTGGCAGTGGGGTGGTTGGGGGGTGGCTGGCCGGGGAGAAGGGGGGAGCTGAGTTGGTCAGAGGTTGGGGGGCTGAGAACCAGGGGTGAAGCCAGGTTGGGTTAGGTTTTCTAAAAATGCTGTGATTCATTTGCATTTTCATTCCTCTGAAAGGAAGGGTCACCTTCATGTCTGAGGCTGCTCTAGTCTTTGGACCAGTCAACTGTTTTTGTTTCCATTCCTAGCGGTTTCAGACAATTCTTAATGAGTATTTCAAAGGGAGATTAAAGAGCCTTTTCCTCAGTGGAGAGCACTTCGCTGCAGCTCTGACTTTGACTTGAGTTAAATATGTGATCCCTTGCTAGTTTCAACTCTGTTCAACATGTGGATGGCCTTCCTTTGACAGCAGTTCAAAGGCAGAATGATAGGGAGGGATACAATATGTTATGAGGACATCTTAAGACATGCTGGAAAAACTGCTTTTGTCCCTACCAAAGGTGAATTTTATACTTGCTTTTTTTTTTTTTTTTTTTTTTTTTTCTGTACTGCACTTTTTGGTAGATTGTTTCCGAGATAGGAACATCAATCTGAAATGTGTGCATGGGAGGAGATTTTCACTGGTATAATTTGGGGGTTTTTCCTGTAATGCTACTTGCTTGCTTTGTTTTCAGCTTTCTGTCCTCAGCTGTGTCGTTGAAATTAATTGATTAGCATACTTTGGATTTGTGATATTCGTGCTTGTGAAAACAAATGCTCATTCTTAACATTCAGATAGATGTGTGACTGGCTTTTTTCTTGACAAAACAAATCAGGTAGAACAGCAATCTAGTTTTAGAAAAACAATGTTTGATGTAGGTGGAGCAACCAGAGGGTAATATTTAATATCTTGCTGTCAGAACAAGAATTTTTGTATGCCTTTTCCAAATAACCATATTAATACTTGTGAGATAAAATATAAATTGAATATTGTTGGATATCTTTTTAAAAAAATTTCTGCTGATTGACAAATGTTTCTTATATCAAGATTTTTTGGAAGCCCTAATCCTTTCAAATAAAGCTCACAGAGATGCAATGGTGTAAGGTTTATCTATTTCAAAGTTACACCACTGAAGCTTTAAACCTGTTTAGATACGTGGTTTAAAAATTAGTCTCAGTGGACCATGCTTAGCTGGATTTAAATCTGTGCTATATTAATGAAGTTTCACTTGATCAGTAGCCACTGTAAATTAGTCTAAAACAGACTTAAATCCAGGTAAGAATGTCCATATTAGGTTTGTACAGCTTTAACTGAATCAGTTTAAAGCCATGCTTTTAAGGAAAGCAGTGGAAATTTGAATATTTGGAAGATTTAAGCCATTTCACTTCAAATTTAAGGAACTGCAGAGTTTGAGTATGCTGAACGGGTGTACCAAGTATAATGCAAGACAAAGAAGACAGTTTTCAATATTCACTGAGTTCAGTGAAAGTTGACCTCTACTGAAATCAACGGCAAAACCCCAATGATTGTTTCGTAGGGTCAGTGTACGTGTTTGCAGCAGTAGGTCCTGAAAAGGACTGTTGCACTTTGTTTTTTAAAGATGAATGAACTTTTTATTTTCTTATCAGAATAGATAACAAAATAACTATTAATACAACTAGGCACCTTTAAGGGAATTTACATCAATATTCTGTTAGCACTTAGCGGCCTCAAATCTGAACCATATTTCGTAAATGCATCTACTTCCACCCAAACTGCTCTGACTTGTTTGGCTGAATCTCCAGAATCAATGTCAGGTGTGGACAAATCCATGCCTTTTGGAAAAGTTTTTTCTATTCACAGGAAAGCAATGAGGAAAGAAATGGTGGTTTGTTTCATTGTGCACGAGGAGATATAATTTGGCTGTGAAATCTGTTGTTCACCACCCTGAAACAGCCTGAGATCTAGGCCAAGTTATCCAAGTTTGGGCAGAAACATCTAATTTCAGGAAAGGTTCTAAGAAAGCACAATTTGTTTAAAACAACAGATATTGTAATGTATTTATATAGTTAAAATGACATTACCGTGGTATATTTTAGGTGGGTTTTTTATTTTACTTTTTCTAATAGCCTTGCAGAACAAGTGTTTAAACCTTCCATACCAAAACTACTTGACAGAAATCTTGTCCATATAATCTTCGTCTGCCAGGTAGGGTTTGAGTGGTGCTGAAAGTCAACATGATAATTTTATAGC